CTGCCGCCTCCGAAGCGGAGCGCACAGCTGGCGGAGAAACCGCATTCTAGCTCCTTCCCGCCCGAGGGAGATGATCAGGGTGCGGGCACTCATGTCTCCCGGGAGAGGTTACCAGATCCGAAGCCGGGAATCTCGGCTTCTCCTCCCCATTGGGGGTTTCCGGCAAGCAAACAGAGGGCAGAGATCGGTTACCCTAAACAATGACATACGGAGGAAAATAACCAGAATTCACCAACATAACCGTTTCCCACTGGTCCTTTGAACCACTTCCTAGAAAAGGTGAAAGCCTGGGGATTAACTGGTTCGGGAGACCAGGAAGAGACAGTTGGATCTCCCCCACCTTTTCCCACGTTGCTGCAGACTCAGGCAGGCTCAGCGCTGCCACCTGGCGGCTGCTTTTCCCAGATTGGGAGGCGCTGTCTGCACTCAGCAGCGCCACAGATCTGGCTGGGTGGGTGTGCCAGGCCTGTCTGAGGAAACAGAGCAGAAACCCCAGTTAATGTTTCGTATCTATGCGGCCCGTGCACACACTCGTTTTCTGCGTGTTCTCAAGAGTAAAGGAAAAATGTGTTGACATTGACTGGCATGGGTATGAAGAGCTGACTTGAGCCTGCTGGCTATGAGGGATGAGAAAGTGGTGAAATTATTAGAAATAAATGTCTCTTATCCCTGTGTATTCTGACAGTGAAAATAAATGACAGATTTCATTCATCCTGCTTAATATTTTTTTGAATAAAAATTAGATATATTGGGCTGGAGAGAGTTCTGCCGTTGCAGGCTAAGGGTCACAACCAAAACTTCAAGAATTAGTAGGTTTCAATAATCTCTTAATCCAGTTTCAGTACAATTTCCTCAGCCCCAAGGATGGAGCGCGTGGGGGGTGGGGGGTGGGGAAGAGTTCTTTCGGTGTGGAACCCAAAACAAGGCTGATGACAGTCAGTTTCGCAGAGCACTTTCCACAATTAACAACAATGCTTTCCCCCACCTCTGTTTATTTGAACTGAATGCTCAAGCCAACCAGCTCGTACAAAGGCAGTTTCTACAGTCAACCCAAATCAAACAGAAATCTTGGAAAATACTGCCAAGCCAGATTTGTGAAACTAATTTCCATGCAGGTTTTCCTCTCTCGGAGCTATAGGAACACATTAAGCATTGGAGGTAAATCTTTCCATCCATGCCCCACATACCATTTTGTGGATATTGGGTTTTATGTTGTGCAGGTGTGTAGAAGCAAGAAAAATGCATTAGCAGATATTACATTTTCGTGTCAAATGGATTGCAATTAACGGAATAAAATAAATATCTGCCTTAATTCAAAATGTGAAGGGTCTAGTATCATTTCCAATAAAGGCCATTAGTTGATTATTCTAAGACGGGACTTTGTTTGCAAAATGGATCTTGGCTTTCTGCTCATACAAGAAGAGCAGAGGGAAGGAACACGGGTGTGCACTGATTTACTAAGGCCACCGAACAGCTGATACCTGGGGGAATGGAGGGTTTCAGTAATGGAGAACCGACTACAGAGCTCATGAAGTTAGGTGATGAGACACAGAAAGCCTTCTGCCATTTTTTGGCATGAAACCCAATACATCCCAATGTCGGTGTACTTTACTCACGACAAGATGACTTTAATGAAAAGCTACCTGTCGTGTTTCGTTGCATTCCAAGCGCTCTAAGAACCAAAACTATCCCACTTCAGTCAGTGCAAGCACTGGAGTATATAGTCTACAGATGTAGAGTCTGTAATGATGTAATAAGATCAGTGGAAGCTACCAACCCATACTTCACCAGTTCTAAAAGAAACTTAGCAATGGGGGCATCTTATAGTCCGGGAGATGAGGAGGGCTTCTTCCAGGGGGTGAACTAACTGTTGCAGCTGGTACAGACTCCTGCTGCCAAACTGACAACCTGAGATAATTCCAGGACCCAGATAAGTGGAAGGAGAGCACTGACTCCAGCAAGTTGTCCTCTGACCTCCATACATGCACAGAGGCAGGCGGTACACTCCAAGTCAAAATTTAATTAATTTAAAATGTGGTATTTTTTCTTAAAAAGTCTTTTCTCCTTTGGTGGCATATTCTATAATGGTACAATTTAAAGTCCTTTTTTGTTGGTTTTTTTTTTTTTAGTACATTTAACAAAAGAATCAAGTCAGGAACTACTTTTTCAATTCTTTTAAAATAAAATCTGTGCTAAGAATGGGTGTAATTACGATAGCTGATTCACACCACTGGTGGAAATACCATGAAATACATCAACACTCATCTTTTGCCAAGTTATCAAAATTGTTTAGTACAGATTCTACAGGACACACATTTATTTTATCGTATTAAAAATGTTGATTTCAGAGACAATAGACCTCTTGGAATAATTCAGCTGTCAGACTCATAGTATTTAAAGGATGAGCATCTGTGCATACCAGAAAAAAAAAATATATGCTTTGCCTTTGTTATGCAAAATACCTTTATTTGTGGAAGTTTTTTGAGTTGGGGGGAGGTGCATGCTATTTTAGGATTCATCCTCTGGGAATAAAAAGAGCTATGATGGATAGCAAATGGTCAAACAGTTATTTGCTTTTGCCCACAAAAACATTCTTGCTTGTGGTTGGTCTTGGGAGTCCTGATCAGCTGTCTCCACAGGGCATTCTTTCCAGTAAATGTCTAACTCTGACACCCGAGGCCTCTTCCCAGCCTGGATACTTAAAAAGTCTGACAAGATAAGTGGAAATATACGACCCGGAACTACTCTGCTATGGATCCCAAGCTGACTTTAATTTGGATGCCTGTCTGTCACGGGCCTGATGAAAATCAGTCTATCATCGTACTGAGAAAGATCAGTTTTTACTAGAATTCCAATTTTCAGATCTTGGGAAAGGGTGATTCAGACGGCCAACTTATTCTATAGTCTAAGTATCAGGCACCTTGTCTGCCACGTGTGTGCACATGTGCATTTTTTTTTTTTGAGACAGGGTCTCAAGTAGCCCAGGCTGTCCTAGAATTCTTATGAAGTGAAGGAGGATGACCTTGAACTGTCACCTCCCAAGAGCTGAGATACCAGACCTGGACTACCAAATGGGGTTCTTGATTACTTCTTCTGCCATCATTAACCATCTTCCATCTTAGTCTCTTGAAAACAAGCTGCTTTTAGGAGAAGTGGCATTTGCATTACCAAGGAAAGGGTGTTAGGAGTCACAGAGGGCTCGGGACACACATCAGTAGTTTGTAACCACACACTCAGCGAGCCCTGACAACAGCTGTCTATAAAGAAGCTCATGGGCTTTCCAAAGCATGAAGGACAAGCAAGACCCTGAAAGAAAGATCAGCAGAGGGGCTGGAGATGGGTTCAGCAGCCCCACTCACCTTTGCTACCCCTTTCTCTTTTCTGGACTTTTAGACCCATTTGTACTAAGTAACACACACACACACACACACACACACACCACACTCAGGAGAAAGTGGGTAAGGAAAAACTGAGGGTGCGTGCTCTGAAGGGAGGAGGGGAGCAGATGATGCACCTGTCCTTTGGAAACTGGAAAACAAATACTTAAGAGAGTAAAGTCAATTCCCATCCTGTCTTCATTATGATCGCCCTACACAAAACCACACAAAATCTCGTATTGAGGTAATTATGGGCCACACTGCCTTCGAGTTTCAAGGCAAATCTCCTTGTTTGGGCTACCCAGGATTTATAGGAGAGCTGAAATCATTAAATAACTAGTTAACCTCTGTTTGACTAAAAGAGTAAGCAATTACTGAAAGGAAAAAAAAATCCTCTGCCTTTCACAAGCAGCACAGATAGCACCCTGAAGGGATTTACACAATACACCGACGTCTGTGCTGTTCCTAGAGTTGTTAAAAATAATTGTGATGACAGGTGTCTAGGTACCACTTTCTTAATGGTTTTCAATATCCATTGATTTATTGTTGTGGCTCCCCCCACTTACATCTCTAGCTTTAAGAAGGAGCTGAGAAAAGAGACTTTGACCAAAGGCTGATTCTTTATTCCTGCGCTGAAAAGAACTAATAAAAATAATCACTCGGCTTTTAAGCAGAAAGCTTCCATTTACAGTATTTCACCCTTACCCCCCCTCCAAGCCCCTTGTTATCTAACATAATGGCTAGAATACATTTCCGTCTCTCCCCTTAATAACTTCATGCATTAACATCCTTTTCACACACGCGCGCGCGCGCGCACACACACAGGCACACGCGAGCGCGCCCAGCAAAAGGGGGAAAAAAGAGGCAGCAGAAATCTCAGCTGTACTTCTAGCCCTTTTAAAAAGTTTGCTCTGTAAATTGGAATGAGGTCAGATTTGGAGCTTCTCATTGCACGCGGAGATTATTATTGCATCGGGTTCCAAGCCAATGGGAAGGACAGGGGAGGGGCTTGGCACGAGGAAGCGTTAGTTACAGCGGCTGATTGGCTGTCTGCGAAAGGATAAAGAAGCGCGAGGCGGAATTGGGGTCTGCTCTAAGCTGCAGCCAGAGAAACAGAGTGTGGGGAAGAGGGCCGTCTCCCTCCCGGTCTCCAGTTCTTGCACGCTCTTTCTTAGAGAGTCTGCAGTGGGAGAACTCTGCCGGTAACCAGCTCCCCTTCTTGCAGGAGGGAGGGAGAAACATACATTTATTCATGCCGGTCTGTTGCATGCAAGCTTCTTGGCTTCCTACCTTGCAACAAAATAATTGCACCAACTCCTCAGCGTCGATTCCGCCCACAGAGAGTCCCGGAGCCAGAGTCGCTTTGGCTTTGCACTGCAGGAAAGGGACTTAGGCGCTAGAGACGATGTCGCTTTCCTGAGCTACCGCGAGCTCTCGTGAACTGCATTCGCGTGCTTCAGGGAAGGGGGGGAAAGACTTGCCCCGAAGGCGGCGAGAAACTTACATTTGGAAGACACTCGGGCCGTCAACGTTCGGAGAAACTCCTAGCCGGCCGCGGCTCCAGCTTCGGCGCCCGCAGGGAGTACTGCAGCGGTGAGGGAGGACGGAGGGCCGCGGGGACTCTAGGTCGGCGGCGGCGGGAGGCGGCAGCCCCTGGCCCGTGCGCCGCTCGGGGGACCCTGGTCTCTGCCCCGGGGAGCCCGCAGGGCCCGGCGACCGCGCCGCGAGCGTGTGAGCGCGCGTGGGCGCCCGGCGAGCCGGGGCCATGGTACAGCAGACTAACAACGCGGAGAACACGGAGGCGCTGCTGGCCGGGGAGAGCTCGGACTCGGGCGCGGGCCTGGAGCTGGGCATCGCGTCCTCCCCGACGCCCGGCTCCACCGCGTCCACGGGCGGCAAGGCGGACGACCCCAGCTGGTGCAAGACGCCCAGTGGCCACATCAAGCGGCCCATGAACGCCTTTATGGTGTGGTCGCAGATCGAGCGGCGCAAGATCATGGAGCAGTCGCCCGACATGCACAACGCCGAGATCTCCAAGCGACTGGGCAAACGCTGGAAGCTGCTCAAGGACAGCGACAAGATTCCGTTCATCCAGGAGGCGGAGCGGCTGCGCCTCAAGCACATGGCTGACTACCCTGACTACAAGTACCGGCCGCGGAAGAAGGTGAAGTCCGGCAACGCGGGCGCGGGATCGGCTACCGCAGCCAAGCCCGGCGAGAAGGGCGACAAGGTCGCAGGCGGCAGTGGCCACGCGGGAAGCGGCCACGCGGGGGGTGGCGCGGGCGGCAGCTCTAAGCCCGCGCCCAAGAAGAGCTGCGGCCCCAAGGTGGCGGGCAGCGCGGTCGGTAAGCCCCACGCCAAACTCGTCCCGGCGGGCGGCGGCAAGGCGGCGGCATCGTTCTCTCCGGAGCAGGCCGCCCTGCTGCCCCTGGGCGAGCCGGCCGCAGTCTACAAGGTGCGGACTCCCAGCGCGGCCACCCCAGCCGCCTCCTCCTCGCCGACCAGCGCGCTGACCACCCCTGCCAAGCACCCAGCCGACAAGAAAGTGAAGCGCGTCTACTTGTTCGGGAGCCTAGGCGCTTCGGCGTCCCCCGTTGGGGGCCTGGGAGCAGGCGCCGACCCCAGCGACCCGCTGGGGCTTTACGAGGATGGAGGCCCGGGATGCTCGCCTGATGGCCGGAGCCTGAGCGGCCGCAGCAGTGCAGCATCATCGCCCGCAGCCGGTCGCTCGCCAGCTGACCACCGCGGCTATGCCAGCCTGCGCGCAGCCTCGCCCGCCCCGTCCAGCGCGCCCTCGCACGCATCCTCGTCGCTTTCCTCGTCGTCGTCCTCCTCCTCCGGCTCCTCGTCGTCTGACGACGAGTTCGAAGACGACCTGCTTGACCTGAACCCCAGTTCAAACTTTGAGAGCATGTCCCTGGGCAGTTTCAGCTCCTCGTCGGCGCTCGATCGGGACCTGGATTTTAACTTCGAACCCGGCTCAGGCTCCCACTTCGAGTTCCCGGACTATTGCACGCCCGAGGTGAGCGAGATGATCTCGGGAGATTGGCTAGAGTCCAGCATCTCCAACCTGGTCTTCACCTACTGAAAGGAGCGCGGGCCGGAGAGAAGGAGGGCCAGAGGCAGGAGAGGAAAAAGGAAAACAAAAGTAAAACAAAGCAAACAAAAAAAATTAAAAAGAAAGAAAAAGAAAAAAAGAGGAAAAAGAGCAGATGGAGAGTGAAAAGAGAAAGGGGAAAAGAAAAGGAAGAAAAAAGTGAGCAGGGCTGGCCTGGACAACGTCCCGTCGTTGGAGAAGGAGCGCGGGGGCGTAGAAGACCCGCGTTCCCATCCCCCCCACTCCCAGGGCTGGGGACTCGGAGGAGGCGGAGAGTAGACGGGGGCGACCTTTTATTGTTGTTATTGATGTTGTTGGTGGTGGCTAAGAAAGCTACTTCGAGTTTCCTCCCCATTTTTTGCTTGAAGAGACTCCCCCCCCCTCCCCTCCCAACGAGCTTCCGGACTTGGTTGCACCCCCAGCGAGAAAAGAAGCCGAGCTAAGCTTCTAGAGACCGAAGGAATCTTGCCCCTCTCGCTTCACCACCTTGGTGATTTCTTGTTTGATTTTTATTTTGCCTCTTGGTCAAAAGAGGAGGGGGGAGATCCAGCGCGCCCCCTCTCCTTCCCACCCCTTCTTTGTATTTTTTTTTCCTTCTTTATTTTTCTTTTTCTGCAGTGAAGACAGAAGGCTCTGGGGTGATGCGTTTGGCCATGGCGTTTGTGTTGGGCTTGGGGGGAGCATTGGCATGGAGAGATTCCACGCTGGCGAAGTCCCAGGTTGGGATTTTTTTTTCTTCTCCCTGTACCCAGAGATGTACAGGGAACAGCAGGCCAGCCTCAGAAATGAACATGGGGACCTCGTGGAAGCCACAGCCGCCTGGTTGGGGACTCAGAAGAATCCGGAGCGCAGAGGGCGTTGGGGTCTCAGGACCTCCGCCTAGGGTCTGTGCAAAAATAAAGAATTAAAAAATATATATATTAGAGAGGTGAGGCTATCCAGAGCCGGCGGGAGGATAGGAGACTGTGGGATGTGGTCCAGGGGCCGCGGAGTGGTTTCGGGGGGGAAAAGAAATTTTTTTCTTCTCTTAATGGGAATCGTGATGGTGTTGAGTTATTTCACTGGTGGGGTTAATATAGCATGTTATCCTGTCTATCTTTTGAAGATTTCTGTATAAGACTGTTGAGCAGTTTTTAAAATAGTGTAGGATAATATAAAAAGCGGATAGATGGCGCTATGTTTGATTCCTACAACGAACCGATCACCAGCTCCTTTTCATTCTTAACTCTTTAAAAGGATTCAAACGCAACTCAAATCTGTGCTGGACTTTTGAAAAAACACAATTCAGGACCAAATTTTTTCTCCGTGTGTGTTTATTCCTTATAGGTGTAATTGAGAAGACCCGTTTATTTTTACCCCCTCACGGACGCTCCATCTTTTTATTTTTTTTTTCCTTGTAAATGTAATCAGATGCCATTTTATATGTGGACGTATTTATACTGGCCAAACAGTTTTCTTATTTTGTCCCTTTTTTCCTCTTTCTTTTGCTTTCTTGTCTTTTGACCTCATTTCTTTATTTTTATCTTCCCTTTATTTTCTTTCCTTTTCTTTCTTTTTTTTTTTTTTCTAGTGTTGTTACCCACGCCATTTTACGTCTCCTTCACTGAAGGGCTAGAGTTTTAACTTTTAATTTTTTATATTTAAATGTAGACTTTTGACACTTTTAAAAAACAAAAAAGACAAGAGAGATGAAAACGTTTGATTATTTTCTCAGTGTATTTTTGTAAAAAATATATAAAGGGGGTGTTAATCGGTGTAAATCGCTGTTTGGATTTCCTGATTTTATAATAGGGTGGCTGGTTAATATCTCACACAGTTTGAAAAATCAGCCCCTGGTTTCTCCATGTTTACACTTCAATCTGCAGGCTTCTTAAAGTGACAGTATCCCTTTACCTGCCACCAGTTTCCACCTTTCCACCCCTCCCCCCATCTTTTAGGATGGGGAGGAGAGTTCAGCCCAGCACCATAATGCTTTAAGAAAAAAACAGATTTTTTTTTTTAAAAAAAAAAAAAGAAACGAATTGCTGTTCTGTCCAGAGGATTTAAAACTGGGGCATTCGCAGCAAAAAGGGATTCTGTAGCTTTAACTTGTAAACCACATCTTTTTTGCACTTTTTTTATAAGCAAAAACGTGCCGTTTAAACCACTGGATCTATCTAAATGCCGATTTGAGTTCGCGACACTATGTACTGCGTTTTCATTCTTGTATTTGACTATTTAATCCTTTCTACTTGTCGCTAAATATAATTGTTTTAGTCTTATGGCATGGTGATAGCACATGTGTTCAGGTTTATAGCTGTTGTGTTTAAAGATTGAAAAAAAAGTGGAAAACATCTTTGTACATTTAAGTCTGTATTATAATAAGCAAAAAGATTGTGTGTATGTATGTTTAATATAACATGACAGGCACGAGGACACCTGCCTTTTAAGAGGCAGTTCCGTTAAGGGTTTTTGTTTTTAAACTTTTTTCTTTTTTTTTTTTTTGCCATCCATCCTGTGCAATATGCCGTGTAGAATATTTGTCTTAAAATTCAAGGCCACAAAAAAAAAAAAAGCAATGTTTGGGAAAGAGAAAAAAAAAAGAAAAAAAAAACTCATGCCAGCTAATTCTGTCCATCACTGCCTGTCGGGTTGTTGCTATATACCTTCTGTAAATAACTTTTTTTGAGAAGGAAATAAAATCAGCTGGAACTGAACCCTAAATCTTGACTTTTGTCGTTCTTATGCCTGAGACCCCTGCACAGAACCCTCCCTGTCGCTGCGGACTCCTGGTCTTGGGGTGGCTTTGGAGCTTGCAAAGAGCCGGTTTAATGCCATCTTATTGACAAATAACCTTGTTCCTCTTGGCTAGATTTGGCAGGCCTGACCCCCCCCCCCCAGCGATGGCGTCAACCACGTGTGTGTCAGCCCCCTGCACGCCTTCGAGGGAATCTCTGCCTCTGCTACACAGCAGCAAACACCCTTTGTCTGGAAATTTCAAGGTGGGGGAGGGGCAGGCTTCCCAGCTCAACCTGGCTGGCTGAGCTTTTAAATTTCTTTTTGCTTTGTGCTTCTGAAGCTGCCATCTCCTTTACACACCAAGATTTGTTTTCCACAGACCAAGAACAAGTAAGTCTGTTAAAATTATTAGTTATTGGAGGAGAAAGCCTTGGCCAGTCACAGGATGCAAAAAGAAAATACTGAGGCTTGTTTTGTTAGGTTTGGAGGGGGGAGGGGTTTCCCCCCTCAAATGCAAAGGTTGGCAGGGTATGGTGATACGTGCCTATAATCCAAGCACTCAAGAGACAGGTCAGGCTGAAAAACCATGACTTCAAGGCCAGACTGTACCACTTAAGACCTGTTTCTAGAACAACAAAAGTTAATATGGCCCCAAACTCCCTATCTTGTGCTGCGCCCAGCCTGGGGATCACTGTAAGTAAAATAGAGCCTCCCTACCCACCTGGGAGAAGAGTAGGAGACTGTGTAGATTTTATAAGCCTCAGGCACCCTCGTAGACTTGCATGCATGGAGAAAAAGTCTGAAGGCCCCATCAGTATTTCATGTTTGTTTTAGAGATCAACAGTTTCCATGGACAAAAAGAAGTCCATGTCCCCTTCCAAAGGCTTGCTCATCCTTAAAAATGTGTGTTTTCCACATTTCCTCGGGTTTTTTTTTTCAGCCCTGGAGAGAAAGGGTTAACAAGTAGCATTTGGAAATAATCCCCTTATTCTAAGGATTGTAGGCAAGGGCCCTGCATCCTGGGATCACAGCAGAAGGACTTATGGAGACCAGCACTTGCAAGCATATTTGCACAGGAAAAAAGCATTTGCTGGGAGGTGGCTCTGATCGAAATACACTGCATACATGCATGAAGCTTTCAAAGAATAAAAATTGCAAAAAAAAAAAAAAAAACAAAAACCAGTTCCCCCCTCTAAAAATAATAATATTGCTTCAATATCATGCCTCTCAGAAGCAGTTCTTGGTCTCCACACGTACACTTGTATATACTGAGCTGTCATTTACTGGATGTTCTGGAGTGCTAATACCTTGTGTGAGTGTGTGTGAGCATCTGTGATAGTGGCTTAAACCCAGGCCCTTGTGGGTGCTAGGCAAGGCCTGTCTTCCTGAATTACAGACCCAAAAATGCTGGTTTACCCCACACAGGGACCCTGCGACAACATGGCATTGTAAGTTTTTCTCTTTTTTTCAAAGATCTTTTAAAAAAATTTTTTTTAATATGCTTAAGTTTAATGTTTGACCATTGTGGTGAATGTAATAGGATTGCTTAAGGTTTTATTCTACAGCCCTCCTTTTAGACTCAGAACATCTAAACCCTAATATAAATGAAGGCTGTGCATTTTTAAAGTGATCCCTATCTTTGAATGTTTGTCTTTTTATAGGCATTTCTGCCTTGTTTATTTTTTTCTCTTAATTTTCCACTGAAGAGCAGATGCTTTTAAATATATTTTTTAAAAGAATTTATTATTTTATCTGCATTGGTGTTTCCCTAAATATGTCCGTGTGAGGGTGTCAGACCCCCTGAAACTGGAGTTATAGATGATAGTAAACTGGGTGCTGGGAATTGAATACCGGTCCTCCGGAGAGCAGCCCGTGCTCTTAACCACTGAGCCATCTCTCCAGCCCCCCAAATATTTTCTTTAAGAAATCCTAAAGCCCAGCCAGGCGGTGGTGGTGCAAGTCTTTTATCCCAGCACTCGGGAGGCAGAGGCAGGCAGATCTCTGAGTTCAAGACCAACCTGGTCTACAGAGGAAGTCCCAGGACAGCCAAGGCTGTAGCACAGAGAAACCCTGTCTGGAAACAATAACAACCAAAACAAAAAAAAAGAATCCTAAGACCCAGGGTGTAGCTAGGTAGAGCACTGGACTACCATGGATAAGGCCTGGGGCTGCCTTCCCAGCACCCTGAAGAAAACAAGGAATTCCGGTACACTCACTTGTCACAGCAGTGATGCCTCGCGCTGCCTAGCAGGGGGTGTGGCAAAGGGAAAACATTTCTGCACTTTATCTAACCTTGCACTCAGAAACGACACTTACATACCAGACTGGGCAAGGCAAAATGAGACCTAGAAAACCACTTCACTGTGACTCTGAGGTGACGTGGCGCAGCAGCGAAGAGTGAACTCTGGCTGGCTTTCTCTGTTTCTAAGACACTGCTTCAGGCCCTGGGCTCAGTCGGCAATGTGGATGGGTGACACTGGTCACCCTGTCAGCTCCTAGCTGAATCCCCTGGAGTGCCAAGACAAATAAATAATAAATAAATAATAAAACCAGCCTTCCAGCTAATCTGGTGGGCTGGGACCCTGAAGAGGCCTTGGGGGTTTCTGCCATCACTGCTCTGAGTATCCTGAGGAAAGAGCAAAATTGGAAGGCCAATGACTGAGTTTCTCCGGGGTCTAGGCTCTGTGGTCAGAAGGCTTCCTCATAGATCATTTGTTTGTTTGGTTGTTTATGTATTGGCTTTTCGGGGCAGGGTTTCTTTGTGTAGGCCTGGCTGCCCTGGAACTCTCTCTTGAACTCAGGGGTCCACCTGTCTCTGCTTTGCAAGCGCTGGGGTTAAAGGTGGGGCCAGCTCATCGTGAATCTTAGACCGCTAAGGGATGACCCAGGAGTGTTTGCAAAGCAGGGCATGGTGGTGCCATCCTTTAAAAAAACAAAAAATAAAACGAAATCTGTATCACCCAGCGAGATTTCTCAGGGTGGAAGCTTTCTGTGCTTATCTTCTTTAATGTGGGTGTTTGGAGTTGTTTTTAAGATTCATTTTACTGAGGTGTTCGTGTGAAATGTGTGCATGTGTGTGCAAGGGGCCTCGGGACAGCAGAGTTCTGAGGAGCTGGAGTCACAGACAGTATGCCACTCAACTCCACACTAGGAACTTGGTCCTCTGGAAGAACAGGAAGTAGTCTTAACTGCTGAGCCATCCCTCCAGCTGTCCGGTTGGCCGGACTTTACAGCCTTGGCCCCAGGACTATAAATATACTTCTGACTCTTACCCCAGACCCTCTGATTCATGCTAGAAGAAGACCTGAAAATACGTCTTGTTTTTCACCCTGCCCACCATTTGGAAGCTGAGGTGGCTAGCCCACATGCGTGGTGAAATGTCTTTTGATATCTGTGTGGTGTTTCAGACTATGCGACACCTCACTGTTACCCTGTCTCCAGGGTGAGGTGCTCAGTTCACATGCGGCTTGTCAAGGCCCTGCACACAACGGGCCGTAGCTCCGCAACCTGTGTCTCCACAACCCCATTATCAGGGCATCAAGCTTTTACCAAGAACTGGGTATGGCGCACACCTTTGATCCCAGTACTGGAGAGGCAGAGGCAGGTGGATCTCTGTGAGTTTGAAGCCAGTCTGGTCTACATAGTGAGTTCCAGGACAGCCAGGACTGTATAGATAGACCCTGTCTCAAATGGGAGAACTTGGTGGAAGGGCAGGACTAACCCTTGAATGCTTCTCTCTCCGCATGTACTTTCCAGGGAGTTCTTTTTGCAAATAAAACACTCTTCTTATTTGTTGGCTTCTTGTTTGCATTGCTTCCATGAGGCCTTCAAGCTTCCAAAATATATTTGCATTTTGTGCTGGCTGTGGCAAGTAGTGTTGAAGTTAGTGAAAATCTGAGTCTGAATACAGGCTCTGAGGTCAGCTAGCGGAAGGACTGTGGTCAATTCCTTAGCCTTTCGAAGCCTCGGTTCTAAATTGCTAAGTAAAAGACTACCTGATAGATAAAGCTGTTGTGAGAATTGAGTGTGACCCTATATCTGGAACACATGTAGCAATGCCTGGCTGCAGACTGTGCTTACTAAGTACCAGCTCTTTACCTCGTGGCTTATTGTAAAAAGGTAGGGCCTGCGCAAGCTGACCACAGTGCCAGCCATCCAGAAAGCCGACAGCGCCAAATAAAAATAAATACACTGCTCGCTCCACAAATCCCCAATATTGGGATGACTTGAGGACAAGGCTAGGACTGTAGCTAACTTGTCAACTGCTTGCGAAGCACACACGGCGCCCTGAATTGGCCTCCCAATATCACATAAGACAGACCAGGTGGTGCACGCCAGCACTGGGGAAGTAGAATAAGGAGGATCAGAAGTTCAACTTTGGTTACACAGTAAGTCTGAAGTCAGCCAGGCTATTTGAGACCCTGTCTCAAAACAAAAAGAAATGTTCGAGGGTATGTGCGTGTGTGCGTATGTGCGTGCATGTGTGTGTGTGTTATGGGGAATTGAACTTAGAGTCTGGGGCATGATAGACAAGTTCTCTACCACTGGCCTAATTCCCAGTCCAGGATTCTTTTTATTTTGTTAACATATTTTTTTTATTTGTTGTTAGAGAACTTCATGCAAGTGCATAATGTGTTTTGTTCAAATCCATCCCGCATCCTCCTCCCAGGCCTCTTCAAGTGCAGAACCAGGCCACCGTCTGACTAAATTCTTCATATATCCTCAGTGCAAACCCAAGTGAAAATGACTACCCTCATAGTCTGTTGGCATGATCTCAACAAGCATACAAGCAAAAGATCGATACCACCCTTTTTACAAGGAGACGAAGGGATGATTCAGGGCTAAGTCTGAGGTCATAGTCAGAAGACAGAGAAGGATGGGGCTGCGGCTCAGTGGTCGAGTGCTTGCCTAACGTGTGAGAACCTGGATTCGAGCACCAGCACAAACATAATTAATTAGAAAAGAGGAAGAAAAGGGGGCACTGA